ACTGTTTTTGGCTTTTGCTCCAGCAAGGGTCCACTGTTTTTGGCTTTTGCTCCAGAAAGGGTCCACTGTTTTTGGCTTTTGCTCCAGCAAGGGTCCATTTCAGCTACTCCTCCCCCCCCTAAAAAGCAAAAGAAATGTCAGCCCTTCCTGGGAAAAAAACTGAATACACCTCTCTTAATATCTTTAAAACTATGCCTAGTTCTCAACCTTTCTTAAATCTGTCAAAATACATAAGTGTTATATTTAAATCATTCACGGCTGAAATCTTATCAACTGCTTTTGGTATTAAACTTCTTTAAAAATCTGTTTTAAAAGTATTGAAACTTATGTTTCATTTATTTTAGCTCTGTTGAGGCTCAACAGTTAGAAGAAGAGAATGAGAGATTAATTGAGCAGCTTAGCAGCCTTAATTCACAAGTAGACCAGGTTAGTTTAGAAGCTTAGTAGAGCAGCTAGGAGAGAGCAGCTTGAACAGAAGAATAAAAGATTAATAGAGGAGCATAGCAGCCTTAATTCACAAGTAGACCAGGTTAGTTTAGAAGCTTTATAGAGCAGCTAGGAGAGAGCAGCTTAAACAGAAGAATAAAAGATTAATTGAGGAGAATAGCAGCCTTAATTCACAAGTAGACCAGGTTAGTTTAGAAGCTTAGTAGAGCAGCTAGGAGAGAGAGAGCAGCTTAAACAGAAGAATGCAAGATTAATAGAGGAGCATAGCAGCCTAAATTCACAAGTAGACCAGGTTAGTTTAGAAGCTTAGTAGAGCAGCTAGGAGAGAGAGAGCAGCTTAAACAGAAGAATGCAAGATTAATAAAGGAACATAGCAGGCAAATTCACAAGTAGACCAGGTTAGTTTAGAGACCTCAGTAGAGCAGCTAAAATATAAGAGAGCAGCTTAAACAGAAGAATAAAAGATTAATAGAGGAGCATAGCAGCCAAAATTCACAAGTAGACCAGGTTCGTTCAGAAGCTTAGTAGAGGAGCATAGCAGCCTTAATTTAAAAGTAGACCAGGTTAGTTTAGAAGCTCAGTAAAGCAGCTAAACTACAAAAGAGCAGCTTAAACAGAAGAATTAAAGAGTAATAGAGGAGAATAGCAGCCTGAATTTACAAGTAGACCAGGTTAGTTTAGAAGCTTAGTAGAGCAGCTAAAATATAAGAGAGCAGCTTTAACAGAAGAATTAAAGAGTAATAGAGGAGAATAGCAGCCTTAATTTAAAAGTAGACCAGGTTAGTTTAGAAGCTTAGTAGAGCAGCTAGAATAGAGAGAGCAGCTTAAACAGAAGAATGCAAGATTAATAAAGGAGCATAGCAGCCTAAATTTACAAGTAGACCAGGTTAATTAGAGGCTTTATAGAGCAGCTAAACTATAAGAGAGCAGCTTAAATAGAAGCATAAAAGATTAATAGAGGAGCATAGCAGCCTTAATTTAAAAGTAGACCAGGGACAGAATTTAAATACGTCGCTGAACTACTTACTGCCGGTTCAAATTTGAACCACTGATTTTAAGGAAAGGTTTGAATTGGTGATTTAAATTCAAACCTGCAGTGGACAGTTCAAATTCATTAAATTCGGTCCCAGGTTAGTTAGAAGATCTGTTGAGAAGTAAGATCAGCTATCAGATCAGTGTACAGTCTACACTGTGCACTGGCCGAAGAAATAGTGGATTACAGTGGAGATTTGGGGGTGGTGGGATATGTTCTGTTTGGTTTTCATACCGATTTTAATACTTTTATTTAAAAATATCCTATTTGCAGTGACTTATTTAGTAAGGGAAAAACATTAAAAAAAAAAGTGGCGAATGGAGAACAAACATATTTATTTTATATATTTTATCTAAAAATTTCAAAGAATGGGGGGAGAGAAGAGGGAGAGGGCAGATAAATACTGTTAAAATACAAGCTTTCCCCCTTTTGATATTTTATCCGAAACTTATATATTTTCGCTAAACCAGCGATAAAAACACTCCAATAATATAAAAACAAACACTTTTCTAACTTAGTGAGGGGAAACCGGTGGGGGGGCAAAAACTTTACTTTATTTATCAAGTGATATGTGTATTGTGTAACCCCTATTACATCTTAATTATCCAGCTTAGGCACAACAAAAAAAAGAGAAATCTGAGGGAATATATCTTTAAAAAAATCTTTATCCATGTTTAAAGTCTACTTGTATATATAGGTGACGAGTAAGGTTGTAAAAATCTCCGAACTTCAAGAGATATTCAGTGAAAAGGTTCTACAGCAGAGTTCAGATATTGAACATATTCATGCTCAGACAGTTTCCACAACGGAGAATATGAAGGTATCATTATCATTATTATTATTAGTTATATTATTAATTTTGTTATCGTTATCGTTATTGTTATACGTTATACGTAATACGTAATATGTTATACGTTATACTTTATACGTTATACGTTATACGTTATACGTTATACGTTATACGTTATACGTTATATGTTATACGTTATACGTTATACATTATACATTATACGTTATACGTTATATGTTATACATAATCATTATATGTTATCATTATACGTTATCGTAATACGTTATCGTTATACGTTATCGTTATATGTTATACGTTATCATTATATGATAATTAGTATTAATTTGGATGGGGATTCGATTAAACTTCATGTTATCTAAATTGAAATCTTTATTATTAAACTAGCTGGAGTTCCCAGCGTTGCCCAGGTTTATATCATTACTCATAGTTTCTCCCGCTGTTTACCCGAGCTTGGTTTTAAATTATAATTTTTGGCTGGAGTGTCTAGCCTAGCCTGTAGAGTGTAGAATTTCTAAATTTTATATTTTTTTAGCCTATGTCACCCCTGGGGTACCCATAGGTTCCTTTGAAAAAAGTCGAGTCTTTTGGTCCGCGTTAGCGAATGTATGTACAGTATTTCGCCCTATTAGGGCTTATCAGTATTGCTCTAATAATCAGATTTGGATTTTGCTACTGATAAATAAAATTTTTTGTCATATATTCTCCTGCTTAGCTGAATATTTTCATATATTCTACTGCTTATGACAATGAATGAAAAATTGAATTTTAATGTTTTTTTTTCAAAAATCAGAGTTTTTTCGAAAATTGTACTGATTGTACAGATTTTCTAAAAAAATGTACGGATTTTAAAAAAAATGTACGGATTGTACGGATTTTTTAAAAAAATTGTACGGATTGTACGGATTGTTTTTCGAAAATTGTACGGATTTTATCTGAAAATGTACGGATTTCTGTACGGATTTGTTCAAAAAAGTTTTGGCCACCCTGTAAATTCTACTGCTTAGCTGAATATTGTTATATATTCTCCTACTTAGCTGAATATTTTCATATATTCTCCTGCTTAGCTGAATATTTTCATATGCTTAGCTGAATATTTTCATATTCTCCTACTTAGCTGAATATTTTCATATATTCTCCTGCTTAGCTGAATATTTTCATATATTCTACTGCTTAGCTGAATATTTTCACATATTCTCCTACTTAGCTGAATATTTTCATTTATTCTACTGCTTAGCTGAATATATTCATATATTCTCCTACTAAGCTGAATATTTTTATATATTCTACTGCTTAGCTGAATATTGTTATTTTTTCTCCTATTTAGCTGAATATTTTCATATATTCTCCTGCTTAGCTGAATTTTTTCATATATTCTACTGCTTAGCTGAATATTTTCACATATTCTCCTACTCAGCTGAATATCTTCATATATTCTCCTGCTTAGCTGAATATCTTCACATATTCTACTGCTTAGCTGAATATTTTCATATATTCTCCTGCTTAGCTGAATATTTTCATATATTCTACTGCTTAGCTGAATATTTTCATATATTCTACTGCTTAGCTGAATATTTTCNTTTTTTTCGAAAATTGTGCTGATTGTACAGATTTTTTTAAAAAATGTACGGATCTTTAAAAAAATGTACGTATTGGTTTAAAAAAATGTACGGATTGTACGGATTTTTTTTAAAAAAATTGTACGGATTGTTTTTCGAAAATTGTACGGATTGTACGGATTTCTTCTGAAAATGTACGGATTTTTGTACGGATGGGTTCAAAAAAGTTTTGGCCACCCTGAATATATGAAAATATTCAGCTAAGCAGTAGAATATATGAAAATATTCAGCTAGGCAGTAGAATATATTAAAATAATCAGCTAAGCAGTAAAATATATGAAAATATTCAGCTAAGTAGGAGAATATGTGAAAATATTCAGCTAGGCAGTAGAATATATGAAAATAATCAGCTAAGCAGTAGAATATATGATAATATTCAGCTAAGCAGTAGAATATAGGAAAAATATTCAGCTAAGCAGTAGAATATATGAAAATATTCAGCTAAGCAGGAGAATATATGAAAATATTCAGCTAAGCAGGAGAATATGTGAAAATATTCAGCTAAGCAGTAGAATATAAGAAAATATTCAGCTAAGCAGTAGAATATACGAAAATATTCAGCTAAGTAGAAGAATATGTGAAAATATTCAGCTAAACAGTTGAAGATATAAAAATTTTCAGCTAAGCAGGAGAATATATGAAAATATTCAGCTGAACAGTATAATATATATTGTGGTTGGGGGGTTAAAGGGACAGACCGGCTATGTAAATAAGTTAATCTGAGTATGCAGTGTTGTGGACAAATTAAATGTTTCCACAATATATTTGCTGAGTTTGAGTGCATAGTCGACGTTCAAAATCATTAATATGGGAGGGTATGTTTTCAGAATCAGTTTTTGAAATTATTAAATAATGACGACGCGGAGGGGGGGGGGGGGCTCAATAATTCCTCAGGCAATCTTCATTCTACCTTGCATTGCATTGCACTGACCCGAACTAAAAGATTTAGAAAAGAAATAAATTATATTCTTATACACCACAATACCCTTCAAAGCTTTGTCTGATCATGTATTGCATTAAATATCCATGTTTCCATTTTGAAAACTGAATGTTTTTATTTGTGGTTTCTCTACAAAAGTGACTTGCACATTTCTTGCTTCAGAAACGATGGAGAAATGAAGGTTTCAAAGGTACATCAGACATGCTACTCTAAAAATGGAGGGTTACTTGAAATTGCGCATGCTATGAATAATTACATCATTTAAGAAAAAACACTTTAAAATCTCACTTTTGCCCTTAACTAAAAAAGTTTCATTAAAAAAGCTTTAATAAATATTGCTTTCAGTGTAAATATAGATTTGATATCATTAGATATAATAAAATATGTATCAATTCTATGAAAATAAAATATTTTTTAAGAATCGTTTACATGAACATAGTTAAATTATCAATATTTTTACAAAAAAAGGTTTTTAAGGGTGGGGCACAATATTGCCAGGGGGGGCACAAAAATGGCCCACCTTTTATAATTTCGATATTTTGTCTTGCAGTAAAAAGCGCATGTCACTTTTGTATAGAAACCACAATTGAAAACAATCAGTTTTCTAAAATTTTATACATTGATAAATCATTCATACTTGATCAGAACTAGTTTTTAAGGGTGCCGCTGTGAATTTGACATTGCCTTCTTTGTCACTTGATAATATGATCACATTTCTTTCAGGCTACTAGTAAAACTATTTGCTTTCTAACATCATATACACTTTGAATATAGCTCTTTAATAAATGTCATTTTTCTATTCCACACTTTCTACAGAGTGTCCCACGAATCATGACAGTTGGTAAATAGTTTTAATGTTCTCTTCCATACACAGTATTAGATATTAAAGGCTGTTTGTAGTTTAGTTTGTTTAAAAATCTTTTGCTCAAATATATTATACTTTAAAGTTAATTTTACTATAATATGACTCCTATATAATATTTTTATTATATATTATATATTTACAAATTATGGAAGAAGACCATTTACCAACTGTCAAGTTTCGTAGGACACCCTGTAGTTATCAGTTCTGTTGCTCAAATTCTGAAATTCATTGCAGTTGTTATGTAGTGAAAAAAAAAACCGTTTTTTTATTTTTGTCCCTTTTTAACTGTGAAATACGTCTGGTTTACACAAACATTACTATATTTTCTTATTGTGATAAAAATATTTTACGCGCTTTTGGAAAGCCCTTTGACTGTCCATTAGTCAAAAACCATTGACCCATTAAATTCAATTATGCAAATTTTCAAAAACTACATGTGCAGTTGAGAAAAATTGAAAATGTGCAAATTCCCTGTAAAAACGTCACATCTGTGCAAAAATCTATTGCTTATTTCGTTTGAACATTCTGCAATATGCTTCCTTTTCTTACAGGCTTTTCAAAAAGCTATAAAATGTTTAAATCCAATGACCAGAAGGAGGTCTAAATATAGATTTAGTATGGATCACACTAATCAGAAAGATTTAACCATATTTATTTTAAAAAAATAAAATTTTCATCTGTTTTATATAATAACTTTAAAAAATATAAAAATTCCGTTAAAAAATGTGAAAAGCATTTCGAAATCAGCTGTTGGCCCCTTAGCTTGACAGATTCATTCAGACTCCTAAAACAAAGTCATTATTATAATGTGCAAGAAAACTTCTCAATACTAACAGACTTATGCCCTATACAGGGTCTTCTGCAAATAACCCCTAAAGTTTTAAACTTTAATAATTTATTTTGATAAGGGTTGTAGAAAATAAAACGATACATTAATAAACCTATTTCCAGTTTGTTATTGAGGCCTATCATTATTTTGCTTTGCTCAAGATTGGGTAAAAGTTATGTACTTCAAAAATAACCCTACAAGTATTTTAAGTAAGGAAGTGTAGTTAGATATAAATAAAAAGCCATCCTCAATTAAATCCGCCCTCTCTATCTTACTTGGATACCAGAATATCCTTCCTACACTAAAGATAATATAGGTTTTATATTCAACTATGAATATCCTACCTCAGAGCTAGAAAACTGTTCCAATCTGTCTTCCTTCCTTTCGTCTTTGGAGTTTTATCCTAAATAAATGAATAAATATTTTGTATACCAGACTATCCTTCCTACACTAAAGATAATATAGGTTTTATATTCAACTATGAATATCCTACCTCAGAGCTAGAAAACTGTGTCCGATCTGCCTTTCTTCCTTTCATCTTTGGAGTTGTATCCTAAATAAATGAATAAATATTTTGTATACCAGACTATCCTTCCTACGCTAAAGATAATATAGGTTTCATATTCAACTATGAATATCCTACCTCAGAGCTAGAAAACTGTGTCCAATCTGTCTTCCTTCCTTTTGTCTTTGAAGTTTTATCCTAAATAAATGAATAAATATTTTGTAAACCAGATTATCCTTCCTACACTAAAGATAATATAGGTTTTATATTCATCTATGAATATCCTAACTCTGAACTACAAAGCTGTTTCCGATCTCCCGCCCTTACTTTTCTCTTTGGATTTTTATCCTAAAAATATAGATAATTACCAAAATTTCCTTCCTTAAGGAATGTTGAAAATAATTACTTAATCTAATTACATTACAATTTATGTACAAACCTTATAGTGAAGTTTTTCCAAAATGTTCGTAATTGGTCCCAGTTCATGAGCTGGTGGAATGAACTTAAATAGAGTAATTTTACAAAACTGATGTGACCATGTCAAAGGATATTTTAAGGTTAACACAACACCAAAAGTATGGATAAAAATAAATGGTGTTTAGAAATTTTAAGTTTTTGAGAGAACTTACTTCTGTAATGTTTCTTGGCAGTAAACACGGAATGGCCATTGTGACTACAAAAAATAATTGAAATTAAAAATCTAATACAATAATATAGAAAATAAATATTAAAAAGTTGAAATACAATCACACTTTACACCAGATATTCTGTACTTTTAAGAGTATTGATATCGAAAAATTGTCAGCCTTAAATTTGTGTTGAAAATATAAGTTTCTGTAGTCAATGCATTTTCATAAGTACGCAGCATGACATCCTTGTCTGTCTGTTGGTTTGTTAAATCCAATAAATGTCAAAACAGCTTAACTGATTGGGCGAAATTTTTTATGGGACCTCACATGACCCCTTGGAAGGTTTACAATTACAAAAAACCTGTCTTAAAAATTCTTGATTTTGTAAAATTTTGAAAATTCACAGAAAAAATTGTAAATATGCAAAAAATGTTATTATAGTGAGAGAATGTGGAATTTTGAGCAACAGTTAACATTTTAAATAGAAGACTGATAGCCTAGTTAAACAGTAATATATTTTCAATAAACCCTAAATCCTTCACAAATTCGATGTCCACACTTCAGACAAAACAAAGTTCAGCAGATCGGATGCTTATTGAAGATAAAAATCAAGATTAAAATACAGTGATATAAACTTACTGAGCCATGGACTTGGTCTGTGATTCCGATGGGTTCATGGACGCATATTTGGTATTTAAATATTTTCTTCTATCCAGGGCCGCTTGGAACTTTAATCCCGCTTCATCATACATCTATAAATCATCAATCATTGAATTTCAACAAAATGCTAATTTCAGTCCTTAGAACAAGCAACTTTTGTCACACAAAAAATTTTAAGACTTGCTAACTTGCTTTCCTTAACTTTAAAATACATTAAAACAATAAACCGTCATCTTTTACCTTGTTCAGAATTATATAACCCCTCAGGGTACATGATTTGTTGAATCCAAACAAATAGGGGTTCTCTTAAATAAAAATTGAATGGTTTATTATAGTTCATCTTTATTAAAATATAATTTATGAGACATATTTTTTTCTGTACTAAAAGGGACTGAAGCGTAATTTCAGTGGACCCTGGCAAAGATCAATGCTTGATTTACAACCTTGCTCTTAAAACCTTAATCTGATTAAAAATGTGGAAGATACTTTTCATTTTCTGGAAACTAACAGTTTAAAGAAACAAAAACATGGATATCTAATTCTTTCATGATAAGACAAGGCTTTAAAGGGTAAAGTTGTAAATCGGGCATTCCTATGGATGGTCACTTGAAATTACGCTTACAGTCCCTTAACCCAAAAAACATGCACAGGAAGAGCAGTCCATTGGTTTTGACTTATTATCAAAATGTAAAATGTACAACATTTCTTTAAATTAAATATTGGCGAAGGAAATCACTTTCTCCTATATATTTGTTGTAAATTATTCTTAATGACAAAAAAGGGTTTAACTCTCCAGAAAATTTTTTTTTGGAATATTTAACATACAACTCTTCTGAATGTTACCTGTGGCACAAAACTGCTCCTTTTTTTGATCAATACAGAGAGCAAAGTTTGGGCATTCGGGGTAAGGATTACCGGATTGTTTGTTCCATTCTTCCCATTATAAAAATATGTTGAAACCCCAATTAAAAATATTATTGTGTACAACAAATTTAAAAATATATTTTCGTCTTTTCTAAATCCTGTTTAAGAATGGCCTTCATTTTCGTAATCGTACTGGCATTATTAATTAATAAATCAATTCATTAAGCTTTGCTAACTTTGGTAGGCTCAATCCCATCCGTAAAGGAATTGAGTTCTTGTCACAAACTCTAATTTCTTATTTGCAATCCAATATTGTAGACCTTAGATATGTCAAACTATGAATTGTGTTATACCAATTAATCTAAGTTTGAAATATCAAAAGTTTACACCCTCAGGTTGCAAAGAAATATGAATTCAAAAATTTGAATTTGTGGCAAAACTTTATATCTTTCAGCTGGAGCTTTGAAACAGCAAGTTTAAATTAAGATCAAATAACCACCTTTCACCGACATGACTTCATTGCTTCCTTTGAAATTTGGATTTTCTTTCTTAAAATCCAAATAAATTGGGTCATTTTCTCTTAGTCTGTATCTCAAATTGTAGTCCTCTACCCTAGCCTCCGCCACATCTGCTCCCCTTCTGTGTAAAACAAACATTTTAATCAACCCTATATTTAAATAGTAAGATTCAAAACAATATAAATGCAAACTGCATTTCGACAGATCCAAATAAAAGTGGAAAAATACCAACAAAAAACGACTTATTAGCGATCAATACTGCTCAATTGAGCCCCAAGCTTAAAATTTCTAATACAAACTCTAATTTGTCACCTGATGATGGTGTGCATTTTTGATATTTTAAACTTAGATCTTTTAATCGAAGATAATTCATAGTTTGAAATATCAAAGTTTTACGACATTGAATTGCAAAGATATAGAGATCAAATTTAGTGGCAACAACTCAATTACTTTCATAAACAAAACAAATTCAGGAATCTTTGATGAAGTATACTCTGGGAATTTCTAATATTTAACGATTTAGGTCTCAATCAAGATACATCTTTGTAACAAGAAAAAATTAGGGATGTACAATTGTCAAAAAAAAAAAAAAACGGCTGAACTAACTTAAATTTTTCTCTGGCAACTCATATGACCCCTGGAATATTTATGGACTATTATTTAAGAAATGTTATGTAGAAAAGTGTTGATTTAATTTTTACAAAATTATGAATGTCAACAGAAACACAAAAAATGGAATTTTTCAATTACAAAAAAATAGCTGCTTGAAAAGCAAAATTTTAGCACTAAAACTTTTGCTAGTATAAAGAAGTGCCATGAAAGCCTAGTAACAATAAAATACCTGAAGTTATATATGATGAGAAATTAACAAAGTGCTTCACAGCATTTTCGGTAGGTTTTAACATCGGGGGATGTCATGTCTTTTACCCTTGAATACACTTCTTATCCAGAAATTCCACCATCTGCCTGATATATAAAGTTTTTTAAAAAAATTCAAAAAAATAAAGAGACAGAGATGATTTAAAATTAATTATCTGAGAAAAGAAACTGACGTACTTGTGTTCTTCATCAGTGAGTATTTGCTGAACGTTTTTTCTTTTTATCTCCTGTTTTTTTATTAACCCCTCCCCCCCCCCCCCCCTAAGGTTTATTGCATAACTCAAACATAATTTGTCTGAGTTTTCAAAACTAAGTAGTGCTCTTTGGCTCCCTTTAGGCATAAAACAAGGCTTTTAGGTTGTCAGCTTTTTCGACCACATATGACACAAAGAAGTAAATTGCACTACTTTTATAAAAAAAAAATTGCAGACTTTTTAATATACTTTCTAATTAACAGCAGTATCAACAGAAATAAAGCTATCAGGCAAAGTCTTTTTTGTTGTTAAAGTAAAGTAAATGCTTACCTAAAACCTTATGGGTAACTTGGGTCCTCCACTCTGTTTGTACCCATTCTCCAACAACATTGAGTCAAATTAGTTTCAGTGAAAATTTTAAATCTTCCTAAATTCTAGTACGATACCCCTAATTACTTAATCTGAATATCCACAATGAACAATCCTGATTTCCTCTTAATCCACTCTTTTCCTCTATTTTTGAATGATCATACTAGATTCCGATCCATGAGAGTTCTTTTATTTAATGGCACGCAAAATTTTGAATTCTGCATACACCACTTAGATTGGTTGAATTAAAGAAACTTTCCTGGATACAAATTAAAGATTGAAATAATCTTAAGGTATTAAAAAAGGGGGTTATCAAGCATTGTCCTGAATATTCAAAATTTTAAAAATTAACCCTAAAGTATCAGTCTCCATTTTGATTTTTCTCCCATAGTTGGAAAAATCACACACATACGAAGCAGACTTTATCTCTAACATGGCTTTAATCGCAAACCCCATTACCCTGGGTGTGTTTATTCCTCCATTTTGGCTGTTCGCAATTTGAACTGAAAAAAAGAAAATTAAATGAAAGATAAAAAAGAAAAAAGTGAGATTGATAATATTAAATTGTTTTAAAAATATTTTTAACATACAACACTGGCCACAGTGCTCAGCCCCCCGAGCCTGTCCACGGCACAGCGAGGGAGGAATGGCTGCTCTCAGGGTTTTGGAATTGCTCCCAGGCTTTTGTAATGCTCCCAGGCTTTTAGAGTTGCTCCCAAGGTGTTGGAGGAAAATGTGAAAATTTATCCGACCTTTTATTAAAAGCCCTTTAAAAGGGTACTTAAAAACCGAAAATTGAAAAAAAGGCTCTGCTACCTCTTTCTTTACAGTAAAAATGGGGTAGCAGAGCAATTTCAAAACCCTGACACACATACTTCTAAACTAAAACATAAATATTATTTAGCTTTCTTTTAACATTTAATCAAACAAACTATGTCATGTCATAGATACTAGAACTAGAAAATTAGTTTCTTGCTTATTACATAATTTAAAGTTAAAATTTTATGCATACAGAGAGAACCAAAAACTATGGAATTGAAAGAGGACTTTAAACTATAGTTATGGCTTATCACAACCTATTTCACATAAACATCATCAAATGAATTTCAGTATTGCTTAAAAATAGATTGTACTGTAAGCAAAAAGAATACAATATAAATGAAATAAACTATAAATAAATATAAATGGACTAAAACGAATACAATAAGATATATAAAAATACACTTTATAAATCTATCCTGTATTTTTTGAATCGCATCGATGATACATCTAGCTATAAAAATATAGCTCACACATATTTATAAAAATGATTTTTCTTGCATAAAAAATGTAATTATTACATGTAAATTTTGTTAAAATGATAACCTTAGGAAAATGAAAAAATATTTTGTTTAAAAAAAATAAATGTATATATCTTTTAATTCTGTAAAGGTTTGGGGTCTGAATCTAGCGTCCCATTTGTGGGGGACACCTAGAAAAAGGCCATTGTGTATAAGTATAGGGTTGCAATGAATGTTCATATCCCATTTTTCAAGGCCAGCTCAGTGAAATAAATTAGACCGCTTTTTTGGGGGGGGGGGGGCAATTGGAAGGTTTAAAAAATGCGCAATCAATTGGAAAAATGTTTTTTGTTTAAATTTCGTTTTTGAAATCATTTTTCAAGGGCTTTTCAAAAATGTAGTTTTTAGATTGGTAGCTTTAGTCACAAAAAATGTATGGGCTATTTTTAATTTTTAACACATGCTGGTTTTTGTAACGCCCTGTAGCTTTCCTATGCATTAAAAAAATTCAAAAAAGTCATTTAAAGTATTTTTCATTAAAAGTAAAAAAAGGCAATGTTGAGTGCTAGGAAAAAGGAGAGTGTTGGGGCAATATAATTAGAGGAGACCGCTAAACGCCCCCCCCCCCCAGCCTATTTATGGTTAAAAGGGGAGAGGAAGATTAGAATAATCATAATTACAGAAACGTTCTGTTTCTGGAATCGGATTGCAACATAATTGTGTGAAGGTGTACAACTTTGATATTTCAAATTTATATATTTCTGAGTTTGAAATATCTAAGGTCTGCAACACCAGGTTGCACTGGAATTAGAAAATTTGTTGCTAAGGTTCAGTTCCTTTTGAAAAAATTATAAATGATCTTACCTTGCTATTACTAAAACTCGTGCGGCGTCACTTAGATTACTTCTTTTGCCTGCCACAATTCCTAAATATTGAAAATTTATTAAATTTCTAAAACATTGCACACAAAAATAGAGCCGTTCAGTTAGCACGGCTTTAAGTGAGAAACCATTGCTTTTTGATTATAAAAACAGATTTTTTCCTCAACAACTAAAATTTTTGAACAATTTACAAAACTTGCCCTTAAAATTTTAACACCCAAACTTTTCTCCAGACTGTGTGCTCATCTTTTATCCCATCACTATGGATTGATAAGTTTACTTATTCCTATAGGAATGCCCTCCCCACTCTAACTCTCATGTTTAATGTCTAAATTTGACAAATAATAAATACATCATTAGACTCTTCGACTTTACTATAAGAATCTGCAAAAAGAAATTACAAATTTGGAAGGAATCCAAAAATGTTGTAGTAAAGGAAATGAGTTTTTTGCCTTAGAAAATTTGAGCTTGTGGCAAAAAGCAAATCCTTTTAAGTAGATTTTAAAGAAAACATGTTTGCAAAGAAAATTAGCAAAACATGAGAAGTTATTCGTTTTTTGACAAACTCCATAACCAATGACCATGGCATATAAAATTTAACCCCTGATGGGGTATTTATAATAACCAAAAAGTAAGTCCCCGTCAAGAAGTGTGAAAAAAAGGCAAAAGTGGTCTTAAATAAAGATTTGTGGTGGTACAAACCTAGACTTTTCAAGTTCTGTAGAAACAGCTACAAGGCGGGAATAACATCCCCCCCCCCCCCCCCCCCCCCCCCCTCCTAGATAAGATTTAGGAATTCTAAACTGCACCTTTGTCGTTTGTGTCCACTATGAACCGAACAAGATACTCTGTATCTTCGATCAGACTGTTATCCATTAGAATGGTGTTCTGAAAATAAATATGTGAAAACCCTTATTTGGAGCTAATTCAAGCTGTAATAGGAAGAAGCAAAAAAAAAAGACACGTAAGCAACCTTATTGTGGAAAGATATGATAAACTGTAGTGGGAACCCAGCTTTGAATTGAAGCTCTCATAAGTCATTTCCCCTCCCTTCCCATCATCCTAGAAGGCTCGAAATTTATAATTGGATATACTTAAAGGGACTGTCAGCGTAATTTCAAGTGTCTCTGTACGAAGAGGGCAACGACTGATTCACACCGATACCCTTAAAACTTTATTTGTCCAATAATGTAAGGTGAAAATTATCTTTTTTTTAAAATTATAAACATTAATAACTATTTCATACTTAATCAGACAACGCTTTTAATGGTACTGTTGGGAATTAGGCATTGCCATCTTTGCATATGAGGTCACTTGAATTTACGCTTAAAGTCAGTTTTATACTTCAATACCAAAACGGAAAATATAATGGTTAAAGACATAAATAAACTCACCTTTATTTCAGGATTTTTAAACAGCAGTCCACCATTATTGGATTTAAGCCCTGCAGTCGCAATAGCTTTTAAGGATTTGCCGAAACTCTTAGCACATCTAAAGTTTTCTGTGTCTCCGCAGACCTACGGAACAAATTTTCATGATTTTCTAGTATTTATTTATAATGAGAAAATAGAAACTAATAATTGAACAAGGTTACTTATTTTCGATGATAAGATTAATTTTTACTGTCTCAACATGTTCCTATACATGACGTCTTTAGTTTATTGTAGAATTTTTTTACATTTTATGTCGTCGGAATTTTTTGCGACAAACAGAAATTTTCCTATCCCTTTTCCTTTGAAACCAGATTGTGTAAACCTTTGATATTTCAAGCTCGGGCTTTTTGGTTTAACAGAGTTCATAGTCTACATAATCGAGTTGCACAGATATAGGAATTATAACTTTAACTATTTTTCTTTATAGCAACTCTATACCCCTATAATTAAAAACAAATGCAATATCAAACCTTTTTGTGTCTTGAAAAGTCAGCTGACTTCATCCATAACAAACAGACCTGTAACAAACCATTTCTTAATTGTAAATATAAAATGCAAGAAATTTATACTAAATAACTTTATCTAAAGGGGATGGTGGAGTTGGCACATTTGATGTAGGGGGGGGGGGCCCTGCCTTCATTTTTGGTTCAAATCTTCCAATTTTTTGGGTGCACTTGTGTATTATTTTNCATCAAATGTGCCAACTCCACCATCCCCTTTTAAACTTCACAAAAAATTTATAATCTCACCGGGCAGGGGTCATTTTCTTTTCCCTCTTCCTCTTCCTTTGGTAGACGGCTCACTCTGAGATAACCGAATCCTCTTGATTCCACCTAAGAAAGAAATGTTTGCAATGCTTAAAAGCAGAAAACCCAAGTTCCAAACCCACCAATAAAAGAAAGGTAACAGAGAGAAATATTCCAAGATTTAGCCAAATGACATCAGATAAAATTAAACAGTCATAGCTAATCCTAATCTAGTTATTTAGGTTTCTTAGATTATACACATAAACTGCAAGTTTGGAGAAAATTTAAAAAAAACAATAGAAAATAAAAAATAAAGAAACTCCTCCGTAAAAACATTATAATTTGTCAAAAGTAAAAATAAGTATACCTTTAAGTTCAAATCATGGTGGCCTTGATTACATTGCCTTGGTGAAGGATCCAGAATCTTGTGAACTTTGTTGAGATGAGTCTTGATTTGAAAGTTGAACAAAACATATTTAAGTAAAGGAAATGAGTTTTTGTCACAAACTATTTTTCTAATCTCTTTATCTTTGCTAACCAATGTCGTAGAACTATGATATTTCAAACTTTGAATTCTGTTAGACCAAATAATTTAAGTTTGAAATATCTAAGGTCTATATCATCAGATTATAAAGATCATAGGGATTAGACAAAAAGAGTTTGTGAAAATAACTCAATTCCTTGAACAAAAAGGAGATTTGTTGAGTGAATCCAACACATCCTTAAAGATTGACCCCCGCCTTTGAGTTTCCCAGAAGTTCTTTCAAGTTTTATGAATTTCAAAGCTACAGTGGGACCCATAAAACTAAATGGCGGAACAGGAAGACGAAATTACAGTAATTTTATGTGGATTTAATATTAATTGAGTAAACTGAGTGTGTGCATACTGCAAAATTGTTATGTGCTATGTTCATTGTAGTATTTTAAAATTAACTATAATTTAATAGTCATCTTTTTATTTTCAGTTTTATGGGTTACACTGTACATTATTTATCCATTTACAGTACTGTTCAAGGCATAAGAAACTGATTACATGCTTCAAACTGTTGAACCTACTTAACAGAAAGTTGAATTTGAAAAATATCAATGGTCTGTACCATCCGGTTGCCAAGATATACGAGTTTTATATTGAGTTAAGTAGATAATTAGTTCCTTTGAAACTTATATTTGATTTAAAGTGAAGCCTTATTTGAACTGATTTCTTTTTGTAGTAAGATTTGGATTCTACTGGAGACCACCGGAGGGATTTTATTTTCACTGGAGGGGTTTGAAAAAATGCTTTTTACAATTTAAAACTTTACGCAGGATGATTTACATTCCACTGGAGGGATTCAGATATCCTTCTTGGGGGGTTTTAATTCCACTGGAGGGATTTAGTTAACCTTCCAAGGGGTTTATAATTCCACTGGAGGGATTCAGATGTCCCTCCTGGAAGGTCAACTGAATCCCTCCAGTGGAATTATAACCCGCCTAGGATGAATTTCTAAATCCCTCTAGTGGAATTATAATCCCCTTTGAAAGATATCTGAATCCCTCCAGTGGATTTATGAACCCCCAAAATGGATATCTGAATCCCTCTAGTGGCATTATAAACCCCTAAGATTGATTTCTGAATCCCTCCACTGGAATTACAAACCCCCTGTAAAGATTTCTGAATCCCTCCAGTGGAATTATAAACCCCCAGGATGATATCTGAATTCCTCCACTGAATTTATAAACCCACTGGAAAGATTTCTGAATCCCTCCAGTAGATTTATAAACCCATATGAAGGAAATCTAAATCCCTCCAGTGGAATGTAGATCACCCTGCTTAAAGTTTTAAATAGTAAAAAGTATTTTTTCAAACCCCTCCAGTGAAAATGAATTTCCTCCGGTGGTCTCCAGTGGAGTCAAAATCTTAGCATGAACTTCTGTGACTCATCCGACTCAAATAAGTTCGTACACCACTCTCAAATTTGAAACTAAAATATTGCGACTTAAAAATTCTGTACGGGAAAGAAAGTATTTGTAAGAGAAGTCTTTGAGATTACAACACAAGAAAAAAGTATGACTTGTTAAAATATGGAAAACATCTCCCCTCCCCCATCTATATTAGACAAAAGTAGTCCAATCTGGAAAGGATTTATGCGAATATTTACCTCATTAGTATTGTGTTCATACACCAATCCAATCTCCCTTGGATATCCGGTATTGTCAACATTCCACTTAACAAAAAGTTTGCAATTTTTAGTAGTTCATTGACAAAATGGACTATTTGGTTAGACTTCTGCTTGGAAATGTTTAAGAGGACATGAATCTTCTGTAAACAGGAAATTCTACCATTTAAAAGCAAATTTTTATTGCTACAAATTTGTTTTCCGAAGATCATTCTGCTTGCAATATATAACTAAAAAAAGCCCCCCCCCCCCCCAGCCTTTTCTTTGATAATACCCAAATTTTTTCTCAACTAATAAAAAGCAGCATTTTTTCACCTCAGAAGTAGGTATCCTGAACTGATTCATAGGCATCTCAACTTCACTCTTAAAATAGATTTTGGTTTAATAACTCCTCATTAAATTTTTGTTATTTTTTTACAAAAAACTGTAATAATTCAATTGATTGATCGAAGGTTATGAAATATCATATTTAAATTTTTCTATTCATCTAATCTTTGTATAATGTAAGTGGATTCAATAACTCTTCATATTCTTTAAAATAAAACATTTTTTGATGCACACTAATCTATACAATTCAACCATGTCTGACCATGTTTTCAGCATGAATAATTCAATATGTGCTGAAGCATGAATAGAGCAAATGGGTTTGAATATATTACCTGATCTTTAATTAAAAACTCGTCAATAACCCGCTCATCTCCAGCAGTTGTCTGTAAAGTTAATGATGCTAATTCATCAACCTAATTAGACAATAAGTTTCATTAGATTTCTTTATTTTCCTAAACCTAAGTGGAGAACTATGACTGAAAAAGTGGGATTTTTGGAAGGTTAATATTAAGAGTGGTAGGTGAATAATCAGCTTGACCCTACCTTAAAAGGGCATGTTTTTCCCATAAAGAGTAGTTCAAATTTAACCTGATTATTTCTCTTTTATCTGAAAACACCCTACCCCCACTCTTTCTTTGAACTACAACAGTTACTTGGAGGGAGTGTTCGCAAAAAATGGCGAAAAATAAGCGCTTTTGATTGCTACTAATTTTACTTATCTGTTGCGTCTATAAGGAGAAAATTGTTAAAAACGACTAATACAGAAGAACATAGTGTCCATACAAATTCAGAAAGATGCAACATAAAACTAGGATCGTAAACAAATCAATTTAATTCCAACCAAATCATCCAGATATCACAAACAATAGTTATCAATTATTTTTCGACGCATTCATAAATAGTTGATATTTCATAATATTTTGTATTTTTCATGATCTGAGAGATACTTTTGAAAACATTTATTCCTGTTTCAAGGATTTTTGATAATGAAGACAACATTTTCATATTTTCCAGGAATGTTCGAAATTCCAGCGCCATCGAAAATTATTTTGAAAAAAAAACAAAATCAAAAATATTATGAAATATTAACTATATATGAATGCATTGAAAAATAATCGATGACTACTGTTTGTAATATCTGAATGATTTGTTTGGAATTAAATTGATTTGTTTACAATCTCAGTTGAATGTTGCATCTTTCTGAATTTGTATGGACCCTGCGTTCTTTGATGTGAGTCGTTTTTAACAATTTTCTCCTTATAGACGCAGCAGATAAAAGTAAGATTAGTAGCGATCAAAAGCGCTTATTTTTTGCTGTAAACCTATACCCCCTTTCATTTTGCAATATGCATGTGTTTTGCAAGTCTTCTTTCAACCCCCATGTGAAAATATTCAGCTAAGCAGTAGAATATATGAAAATATTCAGCTAAGCAGGAGTATATGAATATATTCAGCTAAATGGGAGTATATGAAAAAAATCAGCTAAGCAGTAGAACATATGAAAATATTCAGCTAAGCAGTGGAATATATGAAAATATTCAGCAAAGCAGGAGAATATGAAAATATCAGCTAAGTAGGAGAATATATGAAAATATTCAGCTAAGCAGGAAAATGTGAAAATATTCAGCTAAGCAGGAGAATATGATAATATTCAGCTAAGTAGGAGAATATATGAAGATATTCAGCTAAGCAGGAAAATGTGAAAATATTCAGCTATGCAGGAGAATATGAAAATATTCAGCTAAGCAGTAGAATATATGAAAATATTCAGCTAAGGAGGATATTAGAGTTATATTCTGCTAAGCAGGATTAATATTCAGCTAAGATCTTCAGCTAGGGCAAAATCTTCAGCTAATATATTTTCATCTTCAGCTTATATTCTCAATCTTCAGCTAAGAAAAACAAAAATTTCATGAAATTATCTCATCTTCAGCTAAGCATTTAATCTTCAGCTAAGTATGGCGAGTTTACATATGTATGTCCCAAAAATAGGATATATGGTTCAATTTTTTTAAAAATGTACATTTTTGAAATTTATGGAACATTTCTGATCGGCTGATATCAATGAGAGGTTTGTAGCACTAAAATTAAGGAAGAATTTCAACCATATTATGGAATTTCTGAAAAACATGCAACTCTTATAAACAAATTTTAAAAATGCAGTTTTGGCAAGTTATGGCAAGACCTCAGTTGACAGCACAGAAAAGTAATAATTTCTTGCTTTTCTTGATTACCACAAAAGAAAGGGTCACAGAACTAAAGGTTATGTCTGGTCTTATCATGGACTTTGGGCGCAAATTTCTTAATGCAAGACAGCCTGTTTTATGTTAAGAAAAAACAATTTATAAAAAGGTAATAGAGTAAGGGACAGTACTCCTCAATGTGAAGAGTTAGACGAGTCCTGGAAATTCATCAGAACTCCTAGAAATGTTGTCAGGGTTGCTGCATTAATGAACAGAGATGCTGCCAAACACATTGGAGCTAGAAATACTTTTATTATTCTCCTTTGTGTTCTGCAAGGAGAAACTCTTTGATGTTAAGCAAGTCCAGCTGGTCAAGGATATCAACTGATATGAAATATCACCCATATTGGCCAATCAGATGGGAGGAACTAAAACCTGAAGATTTACCAAGATTTGTACTTGGATTTTCAAACAAGCCAAAATAGCAAACTTCAAACGGTCAATACTTTCTATAGTGCTATGATTTCAATCAATCGGAAATGTTACAAAGATTTCAAAAATGTACAAATATTTAAGAATTGAACCACGGTGAAAGCTACAATGTCGATCGTTTTTTTTTTGGGACACCCTGTTTAAGAAATAAAGTTTTGAAATCCTCAATCCTCATATGCTTCGTAACTAGTTTGTTGTTGTCACTGTTGGTTATAAAGAGGATTAACGAGGGATTTGAAGGGATTGTTTTAACTTATTTAACTTAAAACACCTACATTTTTGGAATACCAATAAGTTCTGAAGATGTTTCTAAGGCCCGGGCCAGAGGTTATGAGTGGTGATGCATATGTATTATGTTATAACCGGTTTTATAAAACATTTTGGAAACTTGGCAAGGCTTTTGAGCGGGGGGGCGGGGGGTATTTATATGAGAGAAAAATATTTATTAACCGTGAAATATTCTTTTAGATTATAGATAAGTGTGAGTGCGGGGGTATTTATATAGTGGTTGTCTTTTTTGTCAATAATGTTTTTATTGTTGCTTGAGGCCATGAATATAGAATACTAATATTTAATATACTACTATTTTTCAGGGGTCCATATATTTCCATTTCTGATCCCAAATGGGATCGAGGTTGAAAGTACATTTAGGGGCATGAAAGTACACTTTATATGTCATTGTGAACTTTGACAAGTTTTGTGTAAGTGTACTAGACTTCAGAAATTTGTACTACATTTGGGTTTTAAAAGATGTAAATATTAGTATTTAATGTAAGAGATAAATTATGATGGACAGAAAAATAAACACTCCCATGCAGTAAACACTCTGCAGTATTGAATTTTTTCTACAACTTGACATTATACTGCCCCTAATATCAATCAACCAACATTTGGGATTGATCAGAAGGAATTATACCGACCCCAACTATTTTTATTAACATTTCTTTAGTAACTCTCTTTACATATTCTTGTAACAAATTTCTGTTATTTTTTCATTCAAGAAAGTTTTCTTTTGATATTTGATTTTGTTTGCTTCAAATCATTTTTTGTCTGACATTTCCTTTGATTTTAGGATAATTTTTTCAGGGGTGGAAAAACAAAACATTGCAAAATTCTAAATTTTTAAACGTGTTTTTAGGAAGGAAATGAGGCAGTGAGACAAGCAATACAGAACCAGGCATCTTACAGGTTTTTATTCAATAAACAGTTTAATAATATAAATACCAACAATTACCAAAAAAAATAAATGTACGGATTGTACGGATTTTTTATTTTGTAACTCTAAAATTGTAGGGAATGTACGGATTGTACGGATTTTTTTTCAAATTGTATGGATTGTACGGATTTTTATCCTGGAAATACACCGTTTTTTTATTTTCACTCATTTCAGCAAATTTTTCATGAAAATTTCAAAAAAAAAATTTCGTCAAAATAAGGTTAGTTTAGCCTATTTTCTGCATTCCAAATAACATTAGATTGATTAATGTTTCAATTGACAATCAAAATTCATTCATAATTTTCGAGATATGTCCCAGAAGTGTTCATTTGAGAATATGTTTGTCTATCTGTCTAGCTAACTGTCTAGCTATCTGTCTAGCTATCTGTCTAGCTATCTGTCTAGCTATATGTCTAGCTATATGTCTAGCTATATGTCTAGGTATCTGTCTTGCTATTTGTCTATCCATCTGCATATCTATCTGCATGTCAGTTTATCTATCTTTTTATCTATCTGTTTATATATCCTATCTGTCTCTCTGTTTATCTATATGTGTATGTGTCTATCTGTTTCTCTGTCTATTTATCTGTCTATCTATCTGTCTGTCTGTTTATCTATCTATCTATTATGTCTCTTTATCAGATCTGAGAACATCCTCTCAGGTTTCTTCCGTTTATCTGTAAATCTTTTCATTTTTAGTTTAATGATAACTTTACATTGAGCGTGCAACCCCTGTACCACGCTAATTTTATTATATTAGATCCTAAATCTACACTCCACTCTGTCTAATTATAACTTAACGGTTTGTTTGTTAAGTGGTCTAATTCACACCGATCTAAACAGTTTTAAAAATTAGAATCAACGCTCTTTAGTTCTCTAGTTCTCTGGTTCTCTGGTTCTCTGGTTCTCTAGTTCTCTGATTCTCTGGTTATCTGGTTCTCTGGTTCTCTGGTTCTCTGGTTCTCTAGTTCTCTAGTTCTCTAGTTCCCTAATTCTCTATTATCTAGTTCTCTAGTTCTCTGGTTCTCTGATTCTCTGGTTCTCTAGTTCTCTAGTTCTCAAGTTCTCTAGTTCTCAAGTTCTCTAGTTCTCAAGTTCTCTAGTGTTTAATAGTAATGTTTAAGTTTTATATCTTTGCAACCTTATGTGGTAGACTTTTGTTATTATAAGCTGTGAATTCTGCCAGATTAATTAGGCTTCGTTTCAAAAACCAGTTGATCTTATTTTTTCATTATTTCCGGGTTCTCATCCATGCATTCAAATACCTACAGTATTTTTTACTACCCGGAATATAGGTTGTTGGAGGGAACATCATAGGTTGCTGAGGGAATGGTGGGGGGAGAAAGAGGTGGTGGGGAATGGGGGGGGGTGTGAGACAGTGTTGAATAATATTTTCAAACATGGTTTTATTTTTCTTAAATGTCGGATTGCAGGGATTTATTTCGAACATTGTACTGATTGTACGGATTTTAAAAAAAGTGTACGGATTTTTTTTCAAAAAAATGTACCGATTGTACGGATTTTTTTTTCAAAAATTGTACGGATTTCTTCTGAAAATGTACGGATTTTTTCAAAAAAGTTTTGGCCACCCTGCAAATATCACCTTCCCGTCAGGGTTTGTTGCCCCTAAAATACATGAATTCAAATCGAGGATGGAAATATTTCGGCTCAATCATCATTTATACAGTTAACATAATTTATCCTCAGCAATATTATTTTTTGTAATGAAATTTGTTCAAAATTAGACAAGATAAATATTTAAAATCGCTTCACTTTGCTTATCATTAACCTAGTTCAGTCTTCAAGCTCAAGTTTAAGTTCAGTGCTTAAAGATATGTTTTAAACGGATGAAAAACTAAAAAAATTTGTATTTAAAAAATTATGAATTTGTTTGCTAAGTTTATCTGTGTTTGCATCTAGAGAGAACTGCTTAGAATGTTTTCTTACAAATGGTTCCCTAAACTGTAAAGTAGTCCCCCCCCCCTCTTCTTTTCAAAATCATGTTTCCCGGGAAGTTCTAAAAATATTGGGTTTTATTCGCTGAATTGGGATAAATAAATGATTTTTCGGGTAAAACGTATCAAAAAGATTATAAAAGTTGGCTGTTGAGTGTTATGTCCATATTTTATTTTATTTTTTTCCCTAAAAGTTTTCATACTTTACTTACTGTAAAGTTACATTGATCTATCCAATTCAGTATGTACATCATACAGTGATAACCAGAAAACTGTGGAATAGGAAGACGACAAGTTGTTAAATCACTAATTAAGTTGCAACGCATTTGCTAATAGCTTTACTAGAAAGTTATAAAATCACTAATTAAGTGAAATGGGTAACTTTACACTAACAATTGCTGTGTCTCATGTTCATTGAACTATTTAAAGTCATATCTTGGGTCTAAAAGTCGTCTTTCTATTCCAGAGTTTTCTAGTTATCCCTGTAAAAGGATAAAGAAGGATTTATAAGACTTGAGTGGGTTTCCCTGAAACGTTTTATTATTATTTTTTTTAAATAATGAAATAAAATGTTTAGAGTAATCATTCTGTTCATCCTACTTGTGTTCAGCTTCTCCCTTCTCTTCCTCGACTGGTTCAACGAGTAGATGTACATTGTACTACTGTAAAGTGTACACTAACTAGATATGTACACTGTACAGTGTACGCACAGCATTTTTATCGTATGTGTTAGTGCTTAGAATCAGGATCCGGTGGATTTTGGCTTTGCTGGATCCGGATAAATGTCCATGACCTGAACCCGGATCCGGATCTAAATCTGCATGGATTCTAAGCACTGGTATCTGTACGTTAAGCCAACTTTGTAAACAAGCCCAAAATTCATCTACATTGAGTTTGTACATTGTACACACTGCTTGTACATCGTACATTGTACACACTGCTGAAAATAGATCATCAGGTTTCAAGTCAAAACACCTTAACCTTTTCTTCAAAATATGTTAATACTAGCCTTAGAGGGCGCTTTGCGCCCATCTTCTAAATTAATTGTGAACATATTCTCTTTGTGTACATCGTAAAACAAAACAAAAATAATTCGCGGATTTTCACAAAAAAATTCGTGGATTTTCAAAATTTTAAAAAATTTAATGAAGATCGAATTTTGATGGAGACAAATATTTAAAATTCATTTTTAAAATCATTCATAAACTTTCCTTGGGGTCCCTAGATGTCCCACAAAAAATTTGGGCCCGATCGGTTCAACCGTTTTGACGTTTATTGGATACAAACAAACGAACAAACAAACAGACAGACAAGCCAAATTTATATATAGATGCAGTCTACTGAAATATAATCTTAATTTTCAGAAAATGCCACCTAGGGAATTTTCTGCAGATCCATTTTTAAGATATTGTAGAAATCAAGTGCATTTACAGTTCTAAAATCAAAAGTAAATTTCGTTTAAAGACTTTAGTATGAATTTTTTGAACTGATAATGGCAGGGTCCCCAAATTTAACTTAAACAGTCTTACAGTTCACTTATGGCTTTGATTTTTTGCTAAATCATGTCTTATGACTAATAAGAACAACTCAAAAATTTGAGGAACCCTGCCACCAACGGTTAAAAAAATATCGTAAAAAAACAGAATCAGCATAATCAAATCTTGAAACTTAGGATACGTTTGTTTTTAGACCTGAAAATTATAATTTAGTAGACTACATATTGATATATTTCAATGAAAAGGTTAAGGTGTTTTGACTTGAAACCTGGTGGTCCATTTTCAGCAGTGTGTGTACATCAATATGTCTGAAAAGATACACTGTACCAATAACCAGTATTAAGCGGACTGATCGTCTAATAATATTTTTCAGTCTTGTCTGATTTTGAAAATTATAACAAATATGATTGATAAATCACTAAAATGTTTAAGCACAGAGTTACATAAGTTAATAATTGCAAATCTGTAGTGACTGATAAATACAAGACTTACAGAGACTGTCTTCGTACTTTAAAGTGTCCCTCCATAAATATTATTTTAATGCATTCCTGATTCACAAAGTAGAACAATTGTAGAATATATTGTTGTTTTTCTAGCTCGTAAAGTATTTAATTATGAAATTTTCTCCTTATGATCATAAAGGTACTGTTGTAAATCGGCATGACCCTCGTTTAATACGGGTCACTTAAAACTACGACTATCTCATTTATAAAGACGACTTTCATTCGTTTTTTACTGTCTTTGACGGTACAGTGTAAAATTTGCTTACTAGTTCAGTACATGTTAAGCTAAAGTATGTTTAACTCTGAATGTACATGTTTTAATGATTGTACAATCAGAGGCCGAATTTAAAGAATTTTAGCCGCGGCTTTAATTTGAGACGCGGCTAAAATGTGGTTGGTTCCACTTTAAATTGTATACAATGTTTCAAGATTTAAGCCGGCGCTCAATTGAAACCGTTTTTTGGTGGATTTGAGACTCGGTTCAAATTCATTAAATTCGGACTCAGCTTGTGTTATTAAACTTTAGCTATAACATTCACCTTATAATATTCGCAAATTTATTTAAATGTTTAAAAAAACTGTTAAAAATATCAGAATGTGCAGAATAAGTAATTAGGTAAAAAAATTGAGGTATTTTTTCTTTTTCAATTTTATTGTTTTTTTTTTTGAAATTTAAAGTGCTTACATTTTATATTCCTACTTTAAAGGGAAAAAACTCTGTAATTTATTAGTTGTTTTGAGCAATTTTTCTTCTGCTCCGTGTTATTTACCGTTTTGGATTCATGATTTTGATTTTGATAGTTTTTTTCACTGTATGCATAAAGCGTACTAATGGCCGCCATCTTTTTTGATAATAAATGCCACTAAAGACATTTTTGCAAGTGAAATTGTTTTCTGAAAATTGGTCTTTTCGATTACGAGAGATGAATTGGTTTTGATTAAATATAATTTCGGCGGGAAATGTTCACAACTATTTAATAGCAAGTTTGATAAGAGATTGCTGATTTATTTTAAACATTTTTTTCTCGAGTTTTTTGTCATTGCTTTTGTTAAAATAACTGCATGTTTTTGAACAACAGTGGTCAATTTTGTTTTTTCTTTTCTTTTAAAAAACATGAGCAGTTAGTTCATAGTTACACTTTTTCTTACTTCTTCCATTTTTCCGAAAAGTGATCTTATTTTGTTATTAAATGTTTTAAGAATCTAAAAATACTGTGATATTGTGAATTCGTGGAGTTTGAGGGAAAACATATATAATTAAAATAGTTATTTTTATTCATCTTTGAATGTAAAATGTTTTTTTTTGTTACTTTTATGAATATAAGAGCTTTTAACGTTAATCCAATAGACAGTCTATTTACATTGGTATGTCTGATTCACAACGATACCCTCCAAGGAGCAAGAAAAGATTTCTCTTAATTTTATTTTAAGATATTAAGGTGTGAAAATGTCCTTCATTGTCGTCACACCATAAAGCTTCGATCAAACTCTTGCTAAAGGGTATCGTACATGTGAATTGGATATGGCGGTGTAAATGGATGAGCACTTGAAACTAAGTCTACCAGCCCCTAAAGATGAGGATTGGCTTGTTGATTTTATGTACAGGGTGTCCCACGAAACATGACAATTGGTAAATAGTTTTGAATGTCGTCTTCCACATACTGAATTAAAAATTAAATAACAAAATACCGATTTAATTCTTAAAATTCCTTGTAGACTCTTTTAAATAACCAAATGGAAATTAGCAAAATTACAAATCGTAAGACCTCACTTCAATATTGATTTAGTATAGTCACTTCAATTTTGGTGTGTGGGTGTAGGACGTCCCTAAAAGAATGATTTGATTTGATTTGAATATATTTTACTAAAATAAAAATTTACTATAATATGATTCCCATTATAATATTTTGTTATTGTCTTAGATATCAAACCTCACAACAAATTATGGAAGAAGACATTCCAAACTATTCCCAAATTTTTATGTTTCATGGGACACCCTGAACTTTCTCATAGACCTTCTCACATGCGAAAACTTGCCAACCTTACCGCAGCGCTCGGCCCCCATTAGAGCCTCAGAAGGCCTATAATCTTACCTTTGAGTTAGGACAAGATTGTTGGGGCAGAAATTTATAAAGCATATTTGTTTGGTTAATGAAGGAAAGAGAACGATGATCAGCTGACGATTAATTCAAATATGTAGTAAACCACTGAATAAACAAACGAACTGTGTTATTGTATTTATCCAACTGTGATGTTATGTTTAACGAACTGTGTTATTATGTTTAACGAACGAATTGAAGAAAATAACGCTCCTAATACAATCAATAGTTATTCAGTAATTAAAGCTTACATGAAAAAATAGGATATCGTCAATATAATATTAAAACAAACAAACTTGATACTTAAAACTCTTGAATACTTCTGATATGGAGTGATATAAATGAGTTACTATACGTAACTACTATTTTTATTATTTATTACTGTTTTATGGTTGACAGATATCCTTGATACATTTTCAGAGAAGGTAATATTTCAGGAAATTACAAAAATTATTGGACATTTCTAAATCGTTTAAACGAACTTGCAAAAAGTTTTTTATTGAGGGAACAATTTTTTATACAAACTTTAGAAAAAAAATATAGTTTTTTTTACTGAAAGAATGATTTTTTAACGAACCTTTAAAAAACCTATATTTTTACTGAACGAAATATATGGAAAATGAACGATAATTCTCAAAAACAGAATTTAAAAATTTTCTGAATGACTGAAGGAAACAAAAAAAGGCAGTTAACGAGTCCTATTGGCTATATACTTTTAGTCATAGTATTCATTCAAAGAAATAAAAAAAAACGGAAGCGCCCATCTTTACTTTTGCATAAGCGAAAACGAATAATCCGTCTGCAAGAAGAGTTTATAATGTTTTTAGTCACAAACAAATGATTTTAGTATAAAAAAGTGATTTTGTGTCGGTTTTTTGGAAGCTACAAATTTCTTTTGCAAAATTAGGGATTTTTGTAGCTTATTTGGAAGCTATTTTCTACTGTAAAACTGTGAAAAATAAGCGAAAATAAGCTGTTTTAGTCAAACATAAGCGATTACTTGTCTTTCATGTTCAGAGATTTTAAATCGCCTAATCGGGTTCTATCCAACTTTTACACCCGATTTGGCGACTTTTTATCGCTTAATTTGGATTTTTAAATTTAGAGTGAGCCATCCAATATAAAATAATATGCATTTTAAGTATATTTTCCAAATCATTATTTATGCAATGAATTTTAGACAAACTTGGTCTTTATTTCTATTTCAATTATGAACATTTTCTCTTTGTATACATTGTAAAAAAAGCCGTGGAAATAGGGATTTGAAAATATGAGTGTGTGACAAAAACTCAAATTCTTTAAACGAAAATCTAAATATATAAGATTTTGTATAAAAATAGTAGGTTTTTACAAATCATATTCAGCAACTATACGACCAATCTGAAAAGAGGAGCCTATTAAAATTAATTATTATTTTTGATAATTTTTCATTTATAAAAGATGTAAAAGATAAGGGTCTGTCCTATTGAACGATTTTTGGACCCCCAATGTATAATGAATGTATGATTAATGTGTATATT